TCGCGAAGGCAAATTTCGCGGTGCGTGCCTCTGCAGAGCTCGGCGGCATTCCGGTCTCTGAGCTCTGTCAAATTTTGCGCTACCCACAGAAAAGGCTTTATCGCATCGTACAGACGCTCAGCGACAGTGGCGTGTGGCACAAAATCTCGTTTCGCGACGGCAAAATTTTTTACTACAAGCTGCTGCCGGCCAAAGCTGCGGCCGCGCTTGCCAGCAGCGCTGAGCAAAGCGCGGGCGCGAGTGCGCCTTCGTCGGCGCAGAGCTCGAGAGCCAAAATGTTTACTCAGCAGTTTGAATTGCGCGTGCAACTGGTTGCGGCGTTCTTCCGCCGCGAATCGTGCGCAACGGTGCCAGAGGTGTGCCGCTACTTGCAAATCGAGGAGAACTCCGCAAAGCTATGCGACCGGAAGACCGCGCAGCGCGTCATTGACTACGTTTTGCAGCTTGACGAATTCTCCCACGTTAAACTTGCGAACACTTCTTTGAGCAGCTCGTCTAACACGAACTTTTTCTACGACACGCGGATGTTCGACTCGGTCGAGCAAGCGGTGGAAGAGGTGAAGAACAAGATTCGGCTTCGGCGCTCTTCTAGTTGCAGAGAAGCGAAAAACAAAGAGAAGCTAATTATTGAGAAGATTCTGAACGACGCGGTCGGTAGCGCGGGAAGCACGCCTGCGCTCTTGAGCGAATCGGCGCAGAGCAGCTCGGCGTCTGCGTATCACGATTTGCTGGGTGAAGACTCGAACGTTTCGACGCAACGGTTCCTCTCGCACTGCGGTTACGCTTTTCCGTACATGACGCGGCTCCGGTTGTTTTACACGTTCGTTGCGGATCAGTTTGCCCCGCAAGGCCAGGCGTCGTTTTCCAGCGCGGAGCTTTACAGCCGACTCACATTGCTGGTGCTGCTGGGGGTGGTTCGGGTGCCCTTTGTAAGCGAGTTTCTGCTCAACTATGTTAGCGGCGGCCTTCCGCATTCTGACGAGATGCTTGTAGACGAGGTTGACGATTCGGAACTGTGCTGCATTTTCAAAGTCAGCGCGAAAGCGCAAGCGCGAGATGCGATCTTGCGCGAGCTCGCGTCTTTACTCAGTGCGCTGCGAACCTTTTGCGTGTTGCAGCAGTGCGAGGCTGCACAGAACTCGGTTACGTTGTCGCAGTACGCGCAGCTCTCGGCCGCTTCGCACTCCGCGCCGTCGCTTCTGTACTGCTTAGCGCAGCAAGCGAGCCTGCCCTATAGCAGCAGCAGTGTTTGCCGCGTCTACGATCTTCCGAGCGAGTTTGACGTCTTTTGGAACGACCTCCGGCTGCAATGTACGCAGAACGCGCAACACATCACAGCCACGTGCGACCCGCAGGATGCGGCTCCGTTCCAAAAGGCCGCATACGCCAAAAACTGGGCCGCTGCCTACATTCTTCTCCCTTCTGAGTGCAGCGTTGTTGCGGCGGCTATCTACGATCAGCAGGCTGCGCAGGGCAAGAACGTCTTCGTGAACTGCGGCACGGACAGCTGCGTGATCAACTCGCGCGCGCCCGAGGTATTCGAACTCGCGCGGCGGCTGCAGTGCAGCCCAGAAAAAGTCGTCTACATAGCGCAGCGCATCGTGCTGAAACAATACAAGGCGACGGCAATTCGCACAAGGAACTTGGAAGCGTGCCAGCTGTCTTGCACGCACTGCGGCGAAGTTTTTTACTTCCGTAGTCACTTAACAGACCACTTGCGCCGGGCGCACCAGGTCGAGCCCGAAGTCGCGCAGCTAGACGCGCGTACGACGCTTTCAGTCGTGGACCGCTCCGCGAGCGAGCTGCACGTAGAAGCTTGGCTCGACAAACTCTGTTCCGTCGACTACGAAATTCGGCTGCGCGCGCAGAATTCGGTCGAGTGCGCGCACGTCGAGATTGCGGGGCTACACGCTGACGCGGTTTTCGCGAGCGCCGCGCTATCCGAGCTGAGCGAGAGCGAGTCGCTGCTGCTGTTCGATCTGTGCATTGGGTTGGAGCTCGTCGACGCTTCGCCGGTGTTCGCCAAGCACGTGAACTTGCCCTTCGCGGCGCTTTGCAAGCGCTACGCACTCAACGTCTTGCTGCTCGAGCGCTTACGCTCGCTAATGCTCAGCATGAATCGCGAAACGGCGTACAGTTTGCTGACGAGGGCCGCGTTCTCTTACAAAGTCTTTGAGCGCGTGAGCGCGGCGGATTGCGCTCTGCGCGGCGCCGCGCCCGCGCTCGAGCAGCTGCCCTGGTGGTCGCCGTACTTCGTGCTGCTGTCCGAGGCGTTAGCTTCGCTCGAGTTGGCAAATCCGATGGCTGCGTTTCTGCTGTTCTCTTTTCTGACGACGCGCATGGAAGGCTTGAACGTGCGGCGCGTGCTCGCGGACTTGCTAAAGGTCGAGGAAGGAGCGTACTCGGCGCTTCTGGCGAGCGAGCCGAGCTTTTCTTCGAAGTCCGTTGGCCGGATCATCAAGGACTGCTTGTTTCTGGAAAACTGTCGCGCGTCGCTTGGCAGCGTCGGCGGGGCTGCGGCGCGTGCGCTCGCGCTTTTTCTCGTCCTGAATCACCAGGAAGATGCGCTGCGCCACGTTTCTGCCCGCCGACTTGCGGCGCTTGCCGCGCCGCTGCAACTGGTGTTTAGCTCGCTGCGCGCCGCTGGCTTTCTGCGCGATTCGAAGGCGCTCGATGACTTTTTAGCTTCGAACGCTGTCGCGCGTCGCTGCTGCAGTTGCGAGTGCTTCGCGCCAAGCTCTGCGTTTAGCAGCCGGATTTTCGGCAGGCCCTCTCGTTTCGCAAACGCGTACGCGAACTACTGCAGCAAATACGCTGGCGCGGAGTGCGCGGCTGGCACATTTTGCGCGGAGACGGCGTCGAAGAGCGAGATGTTCGGCTTTGTGCGCGGCCTCGCCTTGCACAGCTTCGAGGCGAAGCTGCACTGGCGCGACAACGCCAGTCTAGCGCAGCGCTCGATCGAGCCCACTCGCGGCGCCAGCTTCCGGATCTCGCGCGTTGAAATCGGCGCGCAGTTGCGGAACGCCTTT